TTCCTCTTCGATCTCTCACTTCCTCTGTCGTAACCTCTAGTTCCGGACTCTGGTACCCCCTTTCCCTATCCCTTCTCGTGTACGTCGTTGTGGTTGCTCGTTTCTATTGGTTTTTTATGTCTCTATTGATTTTTTTTTTTATGTCTTTGTTGGTTTTTTATGGTGGTGATGGAGGTGGTGGTGTTAGTGTTTATGTTTTTTTATGAATTTGAGAAGAAGAGTAGGGTTTGTTGTGTTATGGTGTTGGGTTTGTTCTGCTTTGGTGTTGTGTTTTTGTTGTGATGACCTAAATTTGTGGTTGGCCTGTGTTGGATTGTTGTGTTGTTGTGTTGGAGAGTGTTGCTGTGTGGTGTGATAGTTTGTTGTGTTGTTGATCAGTATTATGGTTTGTGGTTGGCCATGACTGTGGGTTGTGTTTTGATGGCCAATGTTGTGAGTTGTGTTGTGTTGTTCAGTGTTGTGGGTTGTGTTGTGATGGTCAGTGTTGGGTTGTGTCTGTGGTTTGTGTTATTTTGTTGGTCAGTGTTGTGACTATGGTTTTGTTGTGTTGGCTATTATTGTGGGTGGTGTTGTGTTGGTCAATGTTGTGGTATGTTGTTCGTTGTGGATATGGATTGTTTTGTGACAACCAGTACTATGAGTTGTGTTGTGTTGGTTAGTGTTGTGGGTTGTGTTGATGGTCAGTGTTGGGTTGTGGATGTGGTTTACTGTGTTGTTGTTTTGGTCAGCGTTGTGGTTGTGGGTTGGGTTGTGTTGGTTGTAGTTGTAGGTTGTGTTGTGATGGCCAGTGTTGTGGGTCGTGTTGTGATGGTCAGTATTATGGTTTGTGTTGCTTTGGTCAGTGTTATGAGTTGTGTTGTGATGACCAGCATTGGGATATGGTTGTGATTTGTTGTGATGTTATGTTGGTCAGTGTTGTGTTAGTCAGTGTTGTGGTTTGTTGTTTGTTGCGGTTACAGGTTGTGCTGTGATTGTCAGTACTGTAGGTTGTGTTGTGTTGGTCAGTGTTGTCGGTTGTGTTGTGTTTTTCAGTGTTGTCGGTTGTGTTGTGTTGGTCAGTACTGTGAGTTGTGTGATGATCCAATGTTGGGTTGTGGCAGTGGTTTGCTCTGTTGTTGTGTTGACCAATGTTGTGGTCGTTGGTAGTGTTGTGTTGACCAGTGCTGTGGGTTGTGTTTTGTTGGCCAATACTGTGGTTGGTATATTGAGTTCTTTGAGACCTCATGTCTACAAAAAAAATATAATTAATTACTTCTTTTAGCAATTTTAACTTGTGTTATGACTAATAGATTATCTTTTGTAGCATTTAGAAAAGATGAGCTTCAGGATTTTACAGACTTCATGACGATTGCTCAACCACCACGAACTTCAGACTTCCCTATTGACATCACGTTAGACACATAACTACCGAGATCGTTCTACAAGTGCTCGCGAAGAATCAAGGAGAAATGTGATTTCTTTTAGTAAGCACACAGTCTGACAGATTCCACTGTCGACCGTGTCCAAGAATTGTACCCCTGGAAGACTATGTAGATCGTGACATACACGTTTGCATTTTAAAAATAATATCATCATATTATTAAATGTAATTTTAATAGTTTTTTTTTCAATTTTAGCAATCCTAATACTCACTGTTAAGGGAGGTGTATGAGTTATTTTTTGTACTATTATGAAGTGAATTTTTGTTTCTCAAGTATCAAATATATTGCTATGATGGTTCTGTTACAAACCACATTACCACACAGAGGCAAAAATGTCATTTGCCTATAAAAACAAACAACTAGCCATCTCATTCGCAGCAGGTTCTGCACAGTAGCTTCCTGGGGCAGCTGTTGCGTAGTAGCATATTGACAAGATACAACTGACCCAAGCAAACCCTAAGACCGCCTGCATAAATATATTGATTCAATGGCATATAGAGGGGTGTCTTATTAAAATGACGAGGGCTTAGAAAAATTCTAATAAGTAAAAAACTAAGGCATTTATGTATGCATGCCACCCAATTCCAATGTATTCACCTATTAATACCTAAATTTTATTTTCTTGTTATATCACCCAAATATTTCACATGAAATCAAAATTTCCACTGTTTTAACTTTTTACAAGTGAATACAATTTGTTATGCATTAGTTAGTTGACATATTAGAAAAAATAATAATGTTTATGTGTTTTATATGTAAATATATAGGAATTAAGTGATCTATATAGATCATCATGTAGATAAACTTGGTGTGAGAAAGGCTGTCAAAATAGCTCGTTATTCAGGAACAACTAGTGCTCGACTGATTAAGTAGCTCGTATTCGATTTGTTCATTAAGCAAACAAGTCGAACAAGAGCAATTTTTTTGCTCTCGGTTTATATACGAGCCAATCACAAACTAAGTTTTGGTTTGAAATAGTTATATATATGTATATATATTTAATGTGTATTATCCTTAAACAATTTAATTGACTACAAGTCTATAAAAATTTATAAGCACTTGAAAATATCAATTATAAAATCGAATAATAATATATTAAATTCTATTTAAATTAATATTTTAATATAAATAATAAGATCTAAATATCGCCCATACCCTTAACATCTTACGACTCCGTGACTGGGGCTATGAAAATGACTCACTATTCGCAAACAACTCGTGTTCATCTGGCTATGCAAACGAGTCAAACACAAAAATAATCCACCATACATAATAAATAAATAAATAATGCATTTTTCTTCAATTAAAAAAAAATGATTTTTAGTGTATCAGACTAAGATCTCTTACCAATGTAATGAAGAATGCTGCAGAAACAACTAATGGTAAATACAATCAAGAAATAATCTTTGACCAACAAATGTCAACCTCATCAATGAACAATGAACCAATTTACACTCATAAATTTCAAATGTTGATATACTCGTAATCTTGATATTTTTTTAAAAACAGAACACGAGTTGAGCCTGAGTTCACTCGTTTAAACCACTAACGATATGGATCACACTACACAGATAGCATGAATCACACCACACTACATGGTGGAATCCATGCTAACGACAACACTTCTGATTGTTCGAACTTAATACTTCCCTAAGAAATAGGCAATATTTATACACATCTCTCTCTCTCACACTCTATATGTATATATATTCTCTCTCCCAGAGAGAGAGAGAGAGAGAGAGAGAGAGAGAGAGAGAGAGAGAGAGACTTTCTAAGGTGTTGGTAAGAGCTTGGATTGCCCAAGTCATCAAAGTGAACTTTTAACTTTTTAGAAGAAAAGTCTAAAAAAACAATAAATTCCATTTTGGCAGAAGGGATAAAAAGGGAGAGCCAAAAGGGCCATGTAATAAATACCAGTAGGGCTGTTAAGCAGCCTTTTCAGAGCTGAGTTGAGGAAGGTTCGAATTGAAGTCAGGTCAGGATCATTATATTCGATTTCGAGCCAGCTCAGCTCAAAATTGAATCAAACTCAATCCGGCTCGGAAGAGAAATGAGCGGGGCAAACTTTAGTTTTTTCGATTTATTTCAGCTCATAATCGATCGAAATCGAAACAAGATGGCTCAAATTGAGTTATTTGGAGCTGTTTCAACTTAAAATCCGTTCGTACCTCATCAGCACTGCTATCTATATTCAATATTTTCCCCTTATTCTGAGCATCAAATTTTGGGTGTTATATCCATAAATACAAATGAATTGTGGCATAAATGTAAACTTTTCTAAAACTACTAATATTTACAGGATCATAAGCCATGAGGGAGGACATAATTTGGCGTACAAACAAGGCCATGTGTAACATTCAAAACAATAGGGAATTCCACATTGCTATATATAATGAAGAATGTTGCAGAAACAACAAATGATGTTTACAATCAAGAAATAATCTTTAATCAACAAATGTCAACATCATCAATGAACAATGAATCAATTTATGATTTTTAATGTTGGCATACTCATAAATTTCAAATCTTGATATAAAAATGAATCAAATTTATAATTTTTGCAAGTTAAATTTTAGAAACTTCACCTGCAATCATCATAAATAATTACATAAATACCACTCAATTCCCATGTATTTACATATCTCACACCTAAATTTCAATTTTCTACATATATATCATCTTACCCATGCATGAAAATGTGTATTTAACCCTTTAAAAGTTAAAAAGTGGTATTTTTTATGTGAAATAAAAACTTATGATGGCAGACTTGTAAATAAACAGGAATTGAGTGGTATATATGTAAATGCCCCTTGAAAAAAGGATTTTTCTTATTCAACAAGCAAAAACTGTTGAATTTTTAAAATCCCTACATTCAAAATGCATTACACTCTAAACAACCCCCAAACAGATTTTCATGCTTTGAATCATTGCAATAAAAAGGAACAAGATTTACATACAAACCAGTCAATTCGTATGTATTTACACATATAACACCTAAACTTCAATTTTTACAGATGTGCCATTTCACATTTAAAAACAAGTGTATAAATGTAAAAGAAGTTTAGGTGTTGTATATGCAAAAGCATAGGAATTGGGTGGTATGTATGCAAATGCCCCAAAGGAAAAATAGCAGTACCAACTGAAGAAAATTCTCCCTTCAACCTGTAAGCAAATGAAAATAGCACCAGACTCAGCTGAAAACACAAAACTATTGATATCCTTCCAGCACTCAAATCCACAATCTAACAATCAGAAATCCCAAAACAAGAAAGAAATGAGGGAATTTTACATACATACCACACAACTCTTATGTATTTACATATCTATCACCCAAAGTTTGATCTTTACAAGTATAACACATTGGTACCATAAGCCAAAACATGAAAAAGGTGTATTTTACTTCTAAAAGATAATGATTGTGATAATTTTGATGTGATACTTAAGATTTCAGTGGTATGGACCTAAATATGAATGTTTAGGTGTTGGATATGTAAATACATAAGATTTGTGCGGCATGTATGTAAAAGCCCGGAAAAAAAAGGGGTGGGGTGCAGTTTTGATTGCTGAGACTCATGAAAATGCAAAAAAAGAACTATTTAATTTAATTAAGAAACCAAGTGATGAACAAAGCAGGTGAAAAAGCTGAAAACTTAATCAGCATAGCTTTTTTTTAGGGATAATTTTTAAGATTAGGTAAAATGGTACAAATAGATCAATGAGCCCCTTAAAACCGGAAGACTGAGAGGACATGAAAGGGGGGAGGGGCATGATCTACCTCCCTTGAAAATATCATTTTCCCCACATAAAAGAGGAATTTTTCTGAGAACAACCATGGCTATATCTCCTGTAGCAACAACAATTCAAACAGCAAATGACCTGCAAAAAAAATTTAAAAAATATAAATTTACATGAAAGGTAGGCTGAGGAAAATTAAAAAAGGGAAATTTACATGCAAAGCACACAATTCTTATGTATTTTACATATCTCACGCCTGAAACTCCATATTAATATGCATAGCATTTTGGTGCACACAAGTTGGAGATGAATTCTTGGGTAGAATTGACAAATTAAAGTGGATAAACTTTAAAAATATGAAAAATAATTCAAATTATTTTAATTAAAGGAATTAATTCTACAGGTGAATCAGGTATATACTCCCACCACCCCATAAAACCCATTTGCTAGCATTTTTCCTAATTAAAAATGACACCTTAAATCTCCGCGGACAAAATATCGATAATTTATCATGGTTCCAACCAATAATAATTCAAATGTTGAAATTGATGTTAATGTTCATAATCAATCATATATGTATATTAGATAGATTATGTTTAAGGATGAGGGTTAAACTTCTCCAAATTAATACCCAACTATTCATATTTTAATTCTAGAGCACTATTTTTTTCTTCAATTTAGTCCTTTGGCTATATAAACTTGATCCAAAACGGTCCCACAAAAACTAAATTGTGTTCAACTTTGTGGTGTTGGCAAAATTTAGATCAATTTGTATCATGTTTTTTACAAAAAAGAACATTTTGGATCAATTTGAAGAAGTTGAGGGACTAAATGGGAGAAGTGTGATACTCATTAACTAAATTAGTCATATAGGAATAGTATGGGGACAATTTTGGAATTTAATCTAAATCATGAATTTTGTTAAAGATGTTATTCATAAGAAATGGACCATAGCTTAAAATTGATTGTAATGTGAAGTTGGCATGAATTGTTCAGATAAGGCCCACAAGTAGGCCCATAAGTAGGCCCACAAGTAATGCATACAATTCAACTAATTGAGATGAAAGATAAATAAGAGTTGACCAAGTCCTAAATAAAGCTTCTTATTTACATGAAATTAAAGGGATCTAAACTAAAAGATTAGAGAAACAGTGGACAAAACAATTAAAAAAAATATGTCAAATAATTTTGTCAAGTACAAATATTTTAGAGAAGTTAAAAGCTAAGTAAAATTGGAAGGGTCAATAATAAAAATGATGTAGAGATAGTAATGGAAAGAGAATTAAGTGATATAACTCTTAAAGTGAATCAAGTTGGTAATAGAGTATTGCAATTAAATTAAATATTTGTAATAATATCATAAATGTTGTAAGTACTTATTATTCTTAAGAAGGGCGGTCCAAACATCTAGTAAATCAATTTGTATAGAAATAAAGGGATGAATTGCTTAAACGTACATCACAAATAGATGACACTTTGTGGAAGATAACTAAACGACCATCTAAGGGTTTAAACGATAGGCTCGAGGGAATCAATTGTGAGTAAAGATTCAGAGAATAATAAGACTGTAGGTAAAAAATATATATATAACAGCATATTCTACATTTAATTTCATAGAGGTACATGAATTTGAGATAGCAGTAATATTATAAGAAGGAAGAAGAGCACCTAGTCACAAAGGAAATTGAGAAACAAAATCATAATTAGACATTTTTTTAGATAAAACTTTCAATTGTTGTTGCAAAACTTCTAAGATAATTCCACATAAAAGTTTGACCGCATAAGAGATGATAATTATAAATGTACAAATATTGGAAGAAAAAAGGTAAAGAAAGAAAATATTTATCCTATAAAAATATGCTAGAGCTTTAAAGATGAGCTCAAGCACTCCAAGATAGCTTGTTGAAAGAGGAAGATTAAAACTTCTAGTTGATTAAAACTAAATGTGTAAACCGGCCAGTTGCATTTAAACATAACTATTTTAGGATTTTTATGAGAAGCTACAAATGAAAAAGCTACAAGTAATAAAAAAAAAAAAAGAGGTGGCTATAAGGTTGTTAAAGAAAAAAATTTTAAAAATGCGTATTTCAAAAAAAATGGGAATAACCATTTACAAGTGAAGCATTAAAAAAATTACAAATAAGTTAAAAAGTTATGAAAATGGAGAATTTAGCAAAGCAAAAGCTACAACTTTTAATTATTACAAGATACTTGGCAAAGAAAATGTGTGTTAGTGTGCGCTTGTCTATATATATATATATATATATATATATA